CGGTTGTATTGCCTATGCTATCAAGTCTCCCAGATTCAATTTATTAGCAAAGCAACGCTCGTCCTTATACTACGCGACTCTTCCAACAATGTCTTCAAAGATATGACGTATTTCCATGGTCCACCAAATCACCAGACCTTTCGCCAATAGAACATGCTTGAAGATAACTGCAGCCGTCCCGTAATATCGGTCAATTAACTGTCAAGTGGCAATGATTATGGCATGATCATTCGCAGGGGTTATAGGTCACATATTTGATTCGATGCCACGCCGTATTTAGGTTTGTATAGCTAGCTGCCAGAGGTAGCTATATTTCTTACTGATTTCGAACCTTTCTCATGGCATAACTTCTTAATAAAACCTTCTTTTGTTTTGAATTTGTAATTCTTTGTTTATATCCTCCTACACTACATACATGTTAAGTTTCATGATAGTAGTTCGTTTCCTTTCTGGGTGCATATATTTTTTGTGAGAGTGTGTTAATAAAGAAGAAATATAGGACTCCATAACTTGTTCAGTTGCAATGGAAACTACTGAAAGCGTTTTTCTGAGAATCAGAGGCCTCTTATATATACTAATGATTGAATGAAGGATAGGTACAGGCAGAAGCTTGGCCAGCACTTCTGTAGCATTATACTAGGTGACGGAGGTATTTCTGTTAGTTTTAAACTTCCATCCCAGTGTGGACTTCCGCGAAAGAACACCAGGAAGGCGGCCCGAGGATCCATCACTCTTCTTTCTCTATCACTAATCTATTAAGAGGATTTTGACTAGCAGTGTATTTGAAGAACTACCTTGTCACAGACATTATACGAGTACAAAAATCCGTCCCTTCTCCGATATTCGAACCAGGGCTCTTAAGTACAGCAGTCAGCGTCATTAATCACTATCCCGTCTGGGCGACATACTGAAGAACATGGACATTGACGATGGAAATGGTGTACGCAGTAAACCTTTCTTCTTTCATAAAGTAGTAATGGTGAATTAGAAGCAATTCAAATGGTCTTGTTACAGCTTTGCTGTTGTAGAACTTCTTCATCCAAAGTCATGAATCTGCCCACCCTAGATCTGCCTTTCAGGTGCCTCGACAGAACTTAGAACTTGCAACTCAAAACATATGCCTGAGTGCTGAGATCTTGTGAATATTCTTATTCCCTCAATAAAAATATAGTGTGTGCATCTCATTTTGTAGTACAAGAAAGTAAGACTACAGATTTTCCTAACAAAGAAAAAACTCCAAAATCCAGAGATTTTATGAACTTTCATTCTATTGAGAGACTGATAAACATGAATTTAACAACATTCGTAAGTCCAGTTTGTGCGTAAAAGCTCCGGAAAGGTTTGCAATATTTCCTATGCAAAGGATCTTGTGCTACAGATGTCGCATCATTTCATCTTTGTACTACGTATATTGCGTCAATGCTCATCTCTTTTACATTAGATTCAGAAATCAACTACTCTGTGATCTTTGCGATTCAAGGCACCCAAAGACAAAAAACATTTGAACTCTTAATAGCTTTATTTCTGTTACGCACGCAAGCCTGGGAGGCAAGACATCGAAAGGTTCAAGTGCTAAAAGTTAGAAATTTGTAAGTAATAACAAATATCATAATATGCATATGGATATAAGGATAAGCTAAATAATAACCTGCATAGCCTAAAATATTCGAAATTGATGCGTGACACTAAATATCATGAAATTTAATAACGTGACACTTAATAACATGAAACTAAATAACATGACACTTAATAACAGGAAACTAAATAATGTGACACTTAATAACATGACAAAAAATGTAAAATGCTGTAGGTGGTTTTAACGTCAAAACTTGGAGTTCTCAAAGAAACAAGTAAACAACTTTTTCTCAAAATATTGTTTGTTTTTACAGTACATCATAAAAATTGCTCTTTGCTAATATTAAAACTTTTCTCTCATTCCTAGGGCATGTTCACTATGAGTTATCCTTATGCTATACGATATGGAGGTTTTTGGGCCATCTTTTCTATGATCGCCATTCCATACATAAGTTGCTACACGGGGAAAATCTTAGTTGCTTGCCTGTACGAGTTTAATGAGAGAGGACAGATGGAAAGAGTTAGAAACAGTTATGTTGATATCGCCCCAGAGCTGTTTGGGAGAAAAATGTGGAAGCAAACTAATCAACGTGGCTCAAATTATTGAATTGCTCATGACATGCGTTATCTACATTGTTCTCTGCGGTGATCTCATGAATGGATCCTTTCCAGAAAGTCCAGTCGATCTGAAGTCGTGGATGATTATATCTGCTGTAATCTTACTTCCTTGTGCTTTCTTGAAGAAACTGACTGTTGTTTCGTGGCTGAGCTTCTGGTGCACGATGGCCTTCTTGCTCATCAATGTCATTGTTGTCGGATATTGCTTATTTCAATCACCAGAATGGCAGTGGTCTAAAATACAATTTAGAACAAATATATCTATGTTCCCTGTGACATTGGGAATAGTTGTTTCTAGTTACACGTCACAAATATTCCTTCCTACGTTGGAAGGTAACATGAAAGACAGATCCAAATTTCATTGTATGTTGAACTGGAGTTACATCTTTGCTGCTATCTTTAAAACTTTTTTCGCATTATTTACTTTCTTGACTTGGGGAGAAAAAACACAAGAGGTCATTACCAATAACTTGCCCACTGAAGGATTCAAGGCAACAGTCAATTTAATTCTCGTCGTAAAAGCTCTTTTATCATACCCACTGCAGTATTATATAGCCATCGAACTTCTGGAATCAGCTCTTTTTCAAGGGCAACCCAATACGTGGTTTCCGTCATGTTTCTCACAAAATGGACAAATCCGATTATGGGCTTCATGCCTTAAAGTACTTTTAGTTATCTTTACACTGATTTTAAGCGTTCTGATTCCACATTTCGCTTTGCTGATGGGATTTATAGGCAGTTTGACTGCTTCCATGCTGGCATTTGTGTTGCCTTGTTACTTTCACATGAAACTTAAATTCAATGCTATGAATCGATTTGAGATCGCTTGGGAAATATTTATCATATTCCTAGGAATCTTGTACAGCATTATTGGCTTATATTCTTCAACTAAAGAAATTATCTTTTCTTATAGGATTTAATTTCAAAACTGTTTTTACATAAAAGAAATTAAAAAAAAAAAAAAAACTCGGAAACATAAAGATGAATTTTGAATACTTCTTTCCAATGCTAAGTAGTTCTGAATTAAATTTGAATTTCATCTTTTTCAAATTACTCCCCCTCTGTATTTATGTACTAAGCCAGCGCTTGCATCATGATTTGGATGCTTTCTCGGAGCTTTGAAATAAATGTTTGTGTGATTGGTTTAGAGATTACTGCTGAGTGTTTCTTACGAAGTTAAAATAGATTGAATGACACTGTCAAGAATTTCTCCTTGAAAGTAAAAAAAAAAAGGTCTGAGCGGTCAAATCTGGAAAGGCGATTGGGAACCATTACGAGTTCCATTTCCGCCAAAGCCTATTGTTTCTTTAAAGGCATGTCTTTAGAGGCCTGTTGTTTCTTTACTTTCCTTTCTTCAGCATTTTTAGGCTTCAGGTATTTGAGTATCTTTTTTTTTTAGACCTATTGCTCAGTCTCGTAATGTCTTTACTAATCGTATTGTGAAAAAACAGATCCCACCATTTCCCAGATGAGGTATTTTGACACAAATATCCTATCTTGATCCTCTCAGAAAGCTCATGCAACGCTTATTGGCTATTTGATCTCGGCAAAGTATTCTTTACTCACAGCCCCCTTCGTGTCATTCAAAACCATTAACATTATTTTTGTTGCTTTATTTTCCTCAGCGTTTTTAGCTTGAGGTATTTGAGGGTCTTTGTTTTGAGACTTATTGCTACGTCTCGGAGTCCTATATGAGAATGAAACTCACTGTTATGATTGGAGACATTTACTCAGTACACGGCAGTCGAGCCGATTTTCAGATGGTTGTAGATACATTTCATTATGAAGAGTTCTGATGAGGAGTATTTCAATCATAGTATAAACTCTGCGATCTGGACCTAACTGCAGAAAATATAAATATAAATAGCCATGAAGTCGCTGGAGATGAGATTCGTGTTTCAGAAAATACTGGAAAATAGCCGACTCATAACATTATTTGCATGAGTAGAAAAGAAAAAAGTATTTTTAATGCAAGGAATTATTTGCTGGCTAATTTTCCGCTCGATAAGGATCGCTAAATTTGATTTTCTGGCGTTATAAAATCCATCAAAATATCTCAGACTTTAAACGTTCCTATCAAATTTTATCATATGAGGGTCTAACGATTTGCGTTTATTTTCAAAATGAGCATAAAGTTTTACAATGTATAAATATAGGGAGTGAAGCATTACATGAAAAGTTAAGACTTCATAATTTTTACAAACCCAAACATTTTTCAAAATTGACTTTTTAATTTGAAAAATGCCAAATTATGAATATTTGCGTCATTTAAAACATGTTTGTGATTGGAAGTATATGTGTACGAGCAGCAATATCGAGAATAAAGGCCACATAAAGACTTTTGCTTTTACAGCTTTTGTCCAGAATGTTTATAGACAAAGACTATAATTAGAAGCGGAGTTATTATTTATAAATTAGATTCGCAGCAGGTGGTACGGTTGACTACAGCTCTTCTGGTGTTCCTGAAAATGTTTCAGCAAGACCCCGCCAACAGATAGGGCGGCGGGTAGTAACACGTGTTTGTAGCGGTATTGTGTTCTCAGCGACGTGAATGTGCAGCTTAAAATTTATTTAAAATATATCTGCTTCTAAGAATGGTTATTTTCATTTGCTGCAATGTTTTAACAAGAGTCTCGTAACAACACAACGGGCATAATAATATATAAATAGAGAAGTGTACTGTGCTGAGAAAATGTACCACACATAGCGTCGCCTAATATTATGAAAGACAATCAGCAAACAACTCGATGCATGAGATATATGATTGGGTATAAACTTAGAGGCTACTACCAAGATGTTTTTAAAGTAAATTTCCTTCCTGGACTAAAAGCCAGTGGATTAGAAAGTAGGATGCTGCAGCTATATAGAAAATTTTAACTAAAGTTTAGATAATGATCAACTTTAACTATTGTTTGACAGCTATACGGTGCTTTGACATTTTCGTAATTTTTATGGAATTTAAGGCCCTTTAAGCTGATATTTAATCAGTCATATTGCTTCAGTAGGAGTTTTCTAATTTGCATCTAAAAATCTGATTGGTGGAAACATGGAAGTTACATTTTTCAAAACATTTATATATGTGTTGTTAATGACAAAGATGATGACAATTTATGCATTTAAAAAATGTTTACAGTTGCTGCAATATACAGAACCCTTGTGGCATTTAATTAAGACTTCGTTAAAATTTTTTGTAATGTTTACTGGTTATTATAATGATAAAATATGACTTCAGATTTATTCGTAAATATCAGAAAGTCCAGTAGTAAATAATGAATGTTCTCAATAAAGGAATTAAAACTTATTTTTAAATATTTAATGGTATTTGAAGGTTATCACAACGATAATACTTGATTTCAAACTGATCTGGAAACATCATAGTAGCATTCTAATTAATAGACTTATACAGCAAAACTGGTTCGAAATCTTTAATGATGTTTACAGTTCATCGCTAAAGCAAGATTACAAGTTTGTTTGAAAATATTAGAGAATTCAACAGTAGATTCCGAATAATGGGCTGAAGTACTTGGAATAATGGAAATTTCTGAGCATGATCATGAGCACTACAATCATCATTCTGCAAAGAAAAAATAAAAGTAGAAATTAAGTTTTTAATGTCGACAGCAATATAATGTATTTTTAGAATAAATATTTTCACCCTCATCTTATATCTGCTTGAATATCCTTTATGGAAAAGGAAAGCTGGGTTTTGGCGTTGGGTCATAGACATAGTCCCTCATGTACGTTGTTTTCCACTGTAGTGTCTCTCGACATCGCTGAATTCCGGGTACTGTAGTGGAAAAAAATGGCAAAATGGCAAGTTATCTGACCATTTTGTAATTGGAAACAACAAGAAAATAATTAAACTAATTAGTAATGCCAGTTCTTGCAAGTTTTATGAATATAGTTTGTAGAGACATTAGGTATTTTCGGAAGCAAGCAAGATGAAAAATGAGCAACGCCTTCGCCGGGAATCGAACCATGGACCTCTGGAATACGCGCCCAGCGTGCAGACCACTACACCACGAAGGCAAGCAAGGAAGGCGGGAGAAATACCTTATAAGGTTTTTAAGTGAAAATAAATAAAATAAGAAATTTATATGTAAATTTTTAGTTTATAACAGAAAAGCTACCGGAAAACACTGAATTCTGGGAAATTGAAATAACTATTTTAAATATTTTCAGTTCTCTAATACAAATTTCAGTAATATAAGCAATACCGGACGCAGTGGCCATTCCTGCAGTCTGTGACTTTAGAATAAGCACTTCCAAGGTCGTAGCGACCCTTTCCTGATTTACAACCGTAATGTGTGTCGTCGTCACCGCACAGAGAGAATCATTTAGCAAATTAAGAGTAGTCTACCTTTATTTAACAGCAGACGTTGCCGTGGTTAAGAGTCCTGGTTTGGGGTGGGGGAGAACCACCCCAAACCAGAAGTACATTATTCTATGGTTCTTCAGTATTACATTTTAAAATAGACTTAAGAATAATTTTCAGACTCTTCTAACGTATAGTCTGACTGTAGTACTTTTGTTCTAGATGTGATACTAAATTGTAGATTTTCAGTGCTGTAGTACATTTATTATCAGATCTAGTATTTTTTCCCTTTTGAGTTATAAAAATGAAAGTAACACGATAGAATTTAATTAATTCATTCATACTTCTTAAGTATAGTAAAATATGGTTTTACAAACCAAGTAAGTTTTGATTGCAAAACCTTAAGGCACAGCTTTTCTTAATATTAAATATTTTCTTTTAATATTCTACAAAAAATTTGAGTCACACTTTCTCTTAATGTTCATTCTACCAAAAATCTAAAATTAGATTGCTAATTTTAATTAAATATCTTTGTTAATCGAATGAATCATTTTCTTTAATTAAATAATCGTTAATTAATTTAATTAACTATCTTCGTAAATTCAATACCTTTGTTAATTAAATATCTTCGTTTCTTAATCGTTCTTCTTTTAATTTCATTAATAGAAACGAAATGTTTCAGGAAATTTTAATGCGTTACAAATCCCACCAACTGAAAGATAAATTCATCTGACAATGCTCAATTATGCTCGTATCACAATGCTTAGTTATACTTTAGTGTATATTTAGAATGAGAGGGGAAGTTCTTTCAAAACATGTTTACATGAAACGGTTTCTTTGGTAGCATAAACTAGCATCAAATTCCTAACAGACTTGGAGCGAATTATGGCTTCTTGAAGGCTTTAGATACACTGGTGTGCAAAAATTAAGGACGAGACGGTTTTTTTCAATATAACTTTGTACAAAAGCTTTCCAAATCAACACGTTTAATACCGTAAGATCCCCAATACGTAAGGACATGAGTAATGTAAGCAACACTTACTAAAAGAGAAATCAGAGGGATAAAAAAAAGCTTTATTGAAAAAGTAGCATGGAGCGCAATGCGACTGAAGGCCGAAACATCCCTGTGATGGGTGTCCAGCAAGAAACATCCGGTCTTTAATAGGGGATATGATCTCCCCTGACTGCTAGGCAGGTTTCCCAGCGTCTGCCCATGCTGAGAATGAGGGTGTCAATGAGTTGTTGAGGCATTGCTGCCCATTCGTCTTGCAGCGCCAATGGAAGCTCCGAAATCGTTACTGGTGGTAAGGTACGAGCTGCCAAGCGTCTGCCTAGAAAATCCCATACATGCTCGATGGGATTGAGATCCGTAGATCATGCCGGCCAATCTATGCTTTGCTAAGTTAGTACTCTGGCTTTAGCCATTTTGCTAATTAAGCTAAACTGCGCGATTAAAGTTTTAGCTAATGCTTAATTAAGCCAGTTATTGTAGCCTCCAGCTGCGAACCGAGTTTAATTTGTAAATTCAATTTTTTGTCATTTAATACCTGCAAGTGGCGGAGTTTTTGATTGCTAAGTACAAGTTGCGCGTTTGTTAAGTTCAATTTTTATATAAAAAGGTTATTTGAAATCTTATTGGCCCTTTGTAGAACTTTCACAAATATAGCCGTAACTCACCTGTTACTTTAGTAGGGTTTTAAAGACTTTAAACTCTATTTAGAAAAGATAGTACCCTACAACTTACAAAAAAGGATGTTAACTAATATCTCATTCAACGTGTTCTGTCTTCTTCAGTCTAGAAGCTAAAGTAGCCAGATTTATGACATGATATAATAAAACGTGAGTAATAAATTCTACGTCCGAAATCGCTTAATTTTAGATTACTCTGTTTTAAGCTTTCAAAAATCTCTATTGGTTCAGGCTTCAATGATAGGCAAAATGTTATTAAACAAGAATAATACGGAAAGTTTCACCCAACCAGGTCCAATGCTTGTTAATATATCCAAAGGTTCTTCAGTAGTAGTGTCCATTAAAGAGGTGGCATCTTCGTCCCACGCATGACATCTGCAATGGCTTTTCTGAAAGTTGTTTCCTGGAATGTAAATAAGTCAAATTAAGATATGATTCTGGTATTCTGCTGCACTCAGAATTTGTCTCAAAATATAAGGTAAGACAAAACGAATAATCTCCATGTAAATGATTAAAGTAAGTAATTTAATTGGCACATATTTAACGATTGTTACGACTTAACTCACTTGTCTGATAGGAACAGTAGATTAAGTCCACGACGTCCATGGCGGCCATGAGCGCAAATGTTGCGTCTATCGTTGATCCATGCTTTAGGCACCTTATAAGTGACAATACGAATTCGCCCAGCTCCGTCGTCAGTTCTGAAAAAGAATCTGTCGAGAGGATGCATCTGAGAGTATTCCAACCATTTCCCTTTCGCCAGCTTTCGAGAAAACGTTCGGCTCGAGAGTATTTTAAATGCCTTCTTACTGTAAAGACATACACTTAGAGACGGTCTTTCTAGGAATTTCTTGCCGTGTCCCGTATAGTCACTCAATGGTCTATTTCAACTAATTCAAGGTAAAGCACATCCTACGCGACCGCATGCGTAATGAAGAGTTTAACTTCATCAAAGTCAGATATCATTAATGCCACCAAGAAAATATCTTTAATCCATACTATCCCCAGAAATAGTTAAAAAGAGTAAGAATTTGGAGGCTAATTTGGAGAATGCATGAGGACTGCATTCTTGGTTGTGCCTTTGATTTGCAGATTGGATATATGAAATCCGAAAAAAAAGGGATGTCGCATTGAGTATTGTAAGATACTGCATGAACCTGGATAGTTAGAATTCAGTTTCATTTATCACAAAAAATAGGCACCAGTTACATTGCTTTCTACTACTGTTTGTTACAGAGGAATTCTTCATTTATTTATCTTGTATTATTAAAATCGTGAAAACTGATGAAAGTCAAACTTTATTGAGTAAAATAGAAAAGAGGCAGCATAATATTGACTTATCATTTTATTTTTGTTAGTTAAGTACCAGAATAGTCACAAGATGCATTTGCTGTATACCCGACTTGACCACTTTGATCAGTTTCTGTTATGATTGACAAGGAAAATTTTATCATTTTGTAATATCAGCTACATCTGCAACTTTTTTATGCCCCGATGATTATTGTCGTCGCACTTTAACTAGAACTCCAAAAACACAGACAAGAAGTAAAATTTGACCGAAATATTTATTTAATTTATACCACCACTTGTAATACAACTAAAATTTAACAAAAACATCCATCGCTATTTGTACAACTTAACAGTAATTTCAAATGATAATCAACCTGGCTCCAGATATTGCAACTCCTAGTTTTATGAGCAAACAGTTTTTAAAAATATTAACACTAAACTTAAATTGGCACCTAAGCAGACTTAAGATTTTAACTGCTTTCTAACATAATCTTATCTCTAAATTACACATTCACTCGTTATTTAAACTCACTTGCATTCTGGCAAAGGCTGACGGAAGAACTAGAAAGTAGAGAAAAGAATTAACATAAAAATAGTATTTTAGTTAAAATAAAATTATAGGTCTAAAATAAAATAAACCTACAGGTGTAAATACTAATTAAATCCCCTTTAGACCCTATTACACGGACAAGCAAATTATCCTTCCGTCTGAAAATGTACGACATAAGTCAAAAAGACTTATGAAGATTTTAAATAAATCCTTTTTATTAAAACTTGAACTGACCAGAAGCACAACTTGTGCACACAATCAAAATTACTTCACTTGCGGGTATTAAAATAACGTAAAAATTATTTTATAATTTAAAAGTTATCGTAGGTAGACAATACAAAATTGGTTCTGACTAAACGGGCTCAAACTTTAAAGCCGCGTTTTAACTTCAGCTGGCAAATGGCTAACGCCAGAATATTAACTGGCAGAGCTGGGCGATATAAATGTAAAGTTGCGAACATCTGTGCCAGAAGTTCTGTATCTTATCAAGCATTTACAACCTTCGCCTTAATTAGATGTAAATTAAATTTGGATCCGTGAGAGCTAATGAAGGAAGAAGTTATAGTACAGATCAAAATCACAAAAACTGGTTAATCAACGTCAAATATGTCATGAACCTTACTGAATTCCATCCCCAAAAACATCTTTTTATGCAGAATCGCATTTCAAAGGCATAATACTCGGAAAAACAACGATTTTTGCCGTTGGATTTTCAAATGCGTTTTTAAGCACTTTGAAGAAATATATCTTCTAAATGATAATTTATTAACCTGTTGAGAACTTTTTTGTTACCTCGGTATATCTGTTATCGGTTATCAATATATCAACTCTCAAAGGAGAAAGTAAGTAAAGCTTAATAAGTATGCAGACGTTTAATGATAATACAGACGTTCCCCACCTTACGAACAAGTTACGTTCCGAACGACCGTTCGTACCATGAATTAATTCGTAAAATAATTAAGATACAATAACAGGCCGAACAAATGTTAATTTAGAAGTCAAAAAACAAAAATCAGCGTTATATTTTCAAATTTTCACAGGACTAGTTTCGATGGTTTTACCGAACCATCATCCTCAGTGAAAATATAACGCTGATTTTTGTTGTTTGACTTCTAAATTAATAATTCGTAAAATGTTGCTAAATTCCTTACGCGTGTCTCTTGACAATATTCGTGAAATAAGAGCTATAAACAGCATCAATTAAAAATTAAAAATACTAAAACAAATAAGTAATACATTTTAAATTTTAAATACAGAGTACACGATAAATAAAAAAATGATCATTACATAAATAATTATTTTGCTAGACAGTAACTATCTTGTATGTTGTCTTTGAAGCATGTATGGATGCAGTGAAGATGAGGCCTAGTAGATCTTTACATGGGTGGGGGTGAATCAACATGAGACTAATTTCTGAAAACTCATTGATAAGTAAAGAGGACTTGTGATGACGAGATTGTATGAGAAGAAGTGGTAGGAATTTGCATGTTAGACAACCTGATCCACCCGCTGTAAGAGTGAGGTTATATTAGGCGGTAAAAACACAACTTTAGCATCGAGATGGAAATCATCTACATGTTGTGGATGCCCATGCGCATTATCTAAAGTCAGGAGACTAATTGAAAGGAATTCCTTTCCTCTGGCAGTATAATTTCGCCTCTATGATGAGGTGATGAAAGAACGTCTCCTCAAATATTGCTAACGCCACCAAGTCTTTTCATTATTCATCCATGTTAGAGGCAGTGAGCTTTTATGTATGTTTATCAGTGTCTTAAGATTAAATACACAATGAACTAATAAGGGCTTCATATTAACGACTCAAGCAATTTAAAGTTTATTTTCTGTTCGACGCCAAACAAATTTCAGAGAACAGGTTTCTTCGTATCTGTGAAAGTTCGTAAAACGGGAAGCCTCTGTATATATTTTATACGTAATAGTATAAAATGTTCAAGATTATGCAAATAAAAATGACTTTCAGTGTTCCAGTTGTTAAGATTATGACTATATAAGGCAATATACAGTGCTATCCCAATCACCGATCATATAACCTACTGGTCGTTAAGCAATTACTGTTATTCCATGCAGCTTAATTCAGATGTTACGATAATTAAATAAATTGTTTATCTTAGTTACAAGCAGAGCAAACGCTATGCTTTTCGCCGCTTGGTGCAAACTCCGCAACTGCAAAATTCTGCCGCCCGTTTCCTTTCCAAATTCTAAAAAATTTGCCGCCCGTTGCAGTCGCACCGGTTGCGCATGCTCTGGCGCTGGCTTTGACAGGCGTCATCTTCTCCCCAGGAGTGATTTCTAGATCGTTGCAGAAAACTCCAAAAACTTCATATCGTTCCGATTTTTGTTTCAAATAAATTTTCTGTTATATATATATTTTTTTTTTTCGAATTCGTAAAAAACATATAATTTATTACTCTCATCCCCCGATTTCTTGTTTCTAAACGATAGTGAGAAAATACAAATTGTTTCAAAAGAAGTCTAAAAATTTCAGATCATAAATAACACTCTTGGAAGGCAGACGAAGACAATTTTCTTAGATATAGAAAAGTTTTTAAATAATATCCATGTATTGAAAAATTTTTTTTGGAAACGGAATTTCTATAACAAAAGAAAATTAAATTTGCCCAGGAAACATTAACTGATTTTAACAAAATTAAACGTCAGTTAAACTACTAGCAATTTCATTTATCTAAAATAAATAATCAAAAGATACCCTACAATGACAAGAGAAATAATTAGAAAGTACGAAAGTTTTGCTAAAGATTGTACTAAGTTTGGTTTTTCAGAAATGACCCGTTAACCATTTCCTGTTGCTACAAGCTTGTCGTAAAATTGAATTTTAAATTAAATCAAATATAATTTATAATGAGTAAACCCTACTTAAGAGTTGTCTACGTGATCCAAATAAAACAAATTTAAAGCAAAAAATGTTATTTGAAACCAATAAAATATAAAAAGAAAAATTTTTTTTTTCATAGTCAATTCTCAAAACAAATTACTATTGTGATACTGTGATACTGTTTCTTAGACTGGTCTCAGCGCGAAATTCATCGCGCTCTTCCCAGCACTTCAAGTGCCTCTTAAAGGTGGATTCCTCGCGTATGAGATCTTATTTGAATTGCCACTAATGGGTGAAATACACTGACTACCAATAAGTATTTGGACACCTGAGATAGAAAAGAAAAAGTATATTCAAAATTAATAGTTGGTAGAGCCTCCACGAGAGGTAATTACAGCGTGGACCCTCCAGGGCATACTTTCCACAAGTCTTTGTAGGACAGCTAGTGGTATTTTCTTCCACTCGGCTTCGAGAAGACATAGAAGTTCCTTCACCGATTTTGCACGGGTAGTGCACCCCTGAATTCGGCGATGAAACTCATCCCAGAGGTTCTCGATAGGGTTCAGGTCTGGACTCTGGGCAGGCCAGTCCATTCGATGAACTCCATTGGCACCATACCAAGCCTTGGTTAGCGCAACATGACAACTGGCATCGTCGTCCTGAAAGTAACAGGGGTCCAACCCGTAAAACTGCCACAACGTAGGAAGCACATTGTCATCGAAAATAGTGCAGTAAGCATCGGAGTTGAGCTTACTATGAATGGGGACCAAGGGTTCCAGCCCATACCAGGAGAAACACCCCCAGACCATAATTCCACCCTCCGCCGAACTTCACTGTTGGCACAATGCATTCTGGCAGGAGACGTTCTCCAGGTAGACGCCAGACCCAGACCCTGCCATCCGAACGATAAAGGGTGAACCTTGATTCGTCAGTCCAAAGAACCCGTTTCCACTGATCTATGGTCCAATTTCGATGTGCTTTGCACCACATTAACCGAGCAGCGCGGTTGGACTTGATCAAAGGCTTATGGGCAGCAGCACGACCATGAAACCCAAGCAAATGTGCTTTCTTACGGATGGTATTCATTGAAACAATACTTCCGGTTGCCTGTTGAAACTCCTCGCGGATGAGGGCCATTGGTTGGGTGCGGTTCTTCCGAATTTCTCTGGACAGCACTCGTCGGTCTCTATCTCCCAGTTTCGTTGGTCTGCCGACTTGGGGCACATTCCGACAATCACCGCTCACCTTCCACTTCTTAATCACATAGGCCACTGTCGATTTTGGGTACTTCAGATCGCTAGATATGTCCCTTAAGAATCGGGCACATTTGTGATACCCGATAATTATACTTTACGGGTTGGACCCCTGTTACTTTCAGGACGACGTGCCAGTTGTCATGTTTCGGCGCTAACCAAGGCTTGGTATGGTGCCAATGGAGTTCAGAATCAGAGAGCTCCGAACTGCGAGGTATCTTGCATGCGACTAAAGCCGGTGCTATTTCCTACACGATATACACCGGTGTAGTCCGTGACGTACCTTAGGACCGCAGATATCGTCATTCGCATAGGTGTCCAAATACTTATTGGTAGTCAGTGTAGAAAAGGAAAATAAATATAGGCCCTTTGCCGGTAATTACTGTGTTGCAAGAACACGGAGATGTGATGGTGTCATATTATGTCATATGTATGATATTTGCGTGCGAAATCCCTGCATGAGACAAAATTTGTCCCTTAGGGACTTCATGAATTTGAAATGAAAAGAAATAAGAAGTGACTGTGCAAAAGACAGGAATCAAATGTCAAATGTGAATAGATGACAAATTACTAACAGCATAACACTAAATTTATAACTTTACTAATTGCTTTGAAGTTAAATTCATTTATTTTATAATTTTTAAACTGAATTTAAATAATCCATATTAGAGCTTATTTCAATTCAGTTAGTGTTTTAAAACTTTATTCTTTTAACTTCAATCCAAATTATGTTATTTTAACAGTTAGCTCATTAAATTTTATTGAAATATACCAAATGGCGCAAAACTACTTGCATTTTTTATTTATTTTATACGATCTTTTTTTTAAAACTTGTAATTAATTAATTTGAAAACAATCATTAAATATTTTTGTAAAACATTATTTAACGTTTCAAAATGAACAATACAGTTTAAAAAGCAATAAAGAAAGCGGATTAGTGATTTCATTTTTCATATGACATTATAAGAGAAATGTGGAAAAAAGTAGACCAAAACTTAGCAACTTTTCTCACTCCATTAAATGGCTAATTCGCTTAATGATCTTGCTATTTGATGACATCCTGTGGTATGTGCTCAATCGAAAGGCAGAAAACAACAACAGAAAAAAGCTATTACTGTTGTTCTAAACACAAGACACGTGTTTTTTCGTTTCAAGTTTGAACTGGAAGCATAAGTGCATCCAATAAGAATTTTTGTATAAAATAAAGAGTCTGTTTTATAAATAGTAGAACATTTTCTTGAAAGATTAGCTATAATTTCTTAAGCTAGAAAATCTCGAGTTAAAATGTTTTTATGTGAGAAAATTTAACATTTTTAAGCTCACATTTTTAAGCATTATTTATTTAAAATAGCTCACATTTTTAAGCTAAATAGATAAAATAAAAATAAAAGTATTTGGAACCTTGAGAAATAAATCTCTCAAGCGAAATAGTATTGTTACGAAATGTACAGGCGCGGTGAGATAGCTTCCATGCAAAGCGGTTTTAAGGTTGCCATAAAATGGCAAAGGAGGGCAGCAGAAAAATTAACATTTTGCGAGATTTGGCGAGAAATAGCCCATTTGGCGACAAAACTGGTGATATGCCATGGACAGATGGAGAAGCTTCTCGAACGAATTCTTACCGGTTTAGCCCAGAATGTTCTCGAACACAAACCGAAAGCTATATAAACCCTGCTGGTCCGCAGTCAGTTAGAGTGCCTCGTCGAGTGCGAGATAGTTAGTCTGGAGGTAGTCAGTCCGTGCGAAGTCGATCGAGTTGACAGCCGGGCAGCGAGTGCCTCGTCTAGAGTGAGAGATAGTTATTCTCGAGTTAGTCAGTCCGTGCGGAGTCGATCGAGTTGAAAGCCGGGCAGCGAGTGTCGAATGGGTTCTCGAGTGCATGGAAAGAGTCTCTTCGTATATCGCGGTTAGTGCATCGTCGAGAGAGCGTGTTGAGCTCCGGGAACGACTGAACCGAAACGTCGGGAGCTCTGTGTATCGTCGAGTGCATCGCGAGTTGTAGCGTGGAGTGTCTCGAGAGTACGTGGAGTTTCGAGAACGACCGAGCAGAGTCGGGAGCTGTACTCTGATGCTTTTCAGTGAAACTGTCTCCAACGTGATAGCCTGATAACCTGAAAGCTGTGTCGCTGATCGTGTCAGCGTGTTTATAACAGTTCTACGACAGTAAACGAGTCCTTTAATATTTTGATTTAATATTTAATATTTTCCGATTAATATTTTGGAGCTGTCCTGATTAATACCGGACAATAAAGTGTGTTTCGATACTTCATTAAGTGTCGTCGTTATTCACTCCAAATCCACACAAACCCCGTACGAACGTGAAGGAAGACAATAACGTAACAAGTGGTGTCAGAAAAAAAAAAAAAAGTCACAGTATCCTAAAGGGGTTTTGCTATATAAGATTTAAATAACTAATCACTAATTTCTCAGCTGTGATGCAGGTAGCATAATTAGTTAAACATTACATTAAGCCTAATTTATGATTCAAATTTCAATTAGTATTTACAAATGAAAAATTTATCCCACTTTTTCTATAAAATGAATACTACGCTGTTAAACATGACTCACATATGAATATTTTGTTTTTGGTTATTTTTATTTACGTCTCCGCTGCCTCTGTTCCTTACCTTGGTATGAGTCCATTCTTCGACCATCGTAGTTTTGCTGGGTTGTTGTTACTAGATGACGTCCTCGATCACAGCCAAAAGGACTCGCAAATGGAATCTAAATATAAAAAATTAGTCGCTACGTGGATAGCTATTCTATTTAACATGTTCTGTATATCTACATAAATGTTATTTGAAGAAATTATATCATGTTCATGCAAAAAGTAAAGGCTATTGAGGATGTTTATGGGAAAGTACAGAATAAGCCCAAAAGCAGTTCCTGATTTTAAGACATCATAGAATAAACTATTATTTTGTAGGGATTTATATTTATTTTGAATAACCAGTTAAGTTTATGCTTTCTTTCTTATAAGCTTTCATTCCTCTAATTGTCAATGCCAGAATATTTAAATTTGGTAGCGTGCGTGAAGAAGTGCAAATTCTACCTTCAGAACAAAAGATTTAAGTACTGAGTTCTAGAAGGAGAGTGTGGGCAAGCACTGTCTCTTTGTAGCGCGAGCCTTCTGGTTCTGCATTTATTGGTGGTTAAAGTGGTGTAACAGCTATTACTTTGCTGCCACGCGGTTTTAGGTAACAGGATTATCAGAGCCCTGGGGAAATTCTACTGTTGTGTTAATATCTTTGAATTTTAAGTTTAATGCTTTTTAGTTAGTTGTGTCACCAGTAGTATGTCTCTCTTCCTCGAAAGAATTTGTTGCAGAAGACTTCTGTGACATTTGAAATTTGCACATTACAGATAAAGTAGACCAATTTTGGGGACTAAACGCTCTAGACACTTTAACAAGAAAGTGGCAGTAGTAGAATCGAATATTAGCAAGCATTGTAGCAGAATATTCTCGAGAATCTATAGCTTAAATTTTATTTACATATTTCGACAAATTAGAAAGGGACGTACAGGATTTTTAGAACGCCAACTGATTTAGCTACTTTAAATTTTAGTAATTTATCTGTGATCTTCTATTAACTGCTGATTCATTTCTTTGAAATTAAGCACAATGATTAGAAAACAAAGTTTGGAAAAAATGGCATTGATGATAAGGAGAAAAAGGTAACGTGTATGGCTGAGTAATGTACATTGATTGCTTTTATTTTTCAAACTTGTTTTGAAAAACATGCGAAATACTAAAGAATAATTATATATCACTAGGGAAAAAATAACGTAAAATCTCAATAAGATACATTACAGAAGAGAAAGTGAAAACACAAATAATCACGTATTTAAAGTTCAAACAACTGTATATATATAGGCTAACTACATGTACATCCATCTTCCCGATCTTACATATAAAAAAAATCTAATGTGTACACCACATGACTTCCTTGTACGGAATAATAAATTATACGCATTTTTTCTTTGCATTTCATTTAAACTTATTGGATTGAATTAAATCTACTTCGCCGACAGTGCATAAACCTCAATAGAATAAAAGTTCACTCTAATTGTTTCCCATAGCGACTCTCTGGCGCTAGGTTCACTTAACAGTATCATATTTCATTCATATTATAACTCAGAATGCACAAAATTTACATCGTTTAAAGAATTATCTAATTGTTGCCACATGTTCTATTCAAATACTGTAATAAAGCTAGAACGATGTATAAAAGAAATTAAGCAAACAAAACAAAAAAGAAACAGTTTTTCACGGACGATTGAGTATTTCTCATTCAATTAATCCCAGTTCTCGCTTCGGGACAAGGCAAAAATACACAAAAAACTCAAAATATCTGTATTAAAAATTACGAAGTAAATCTTAAACACTTATTTCCTCGAAAAAATTACAGAAAGGATTAAGCATGTTTTAATTCGCGTTATCTTTGTTGTTGCGAAGCTAAGTTTCTCTAGATTGGCAACAAATCCACTATTCTGCTATTTCAAATGTAAACAAGCAATGGCCGTCATCAAAAAAATTATTAGGCTTAGCGGCACTTAAACAACTTTAAAATTGTTGATAATTCTAAAAATATTGCATACAGATTTACTAAAGGATTCCACTGTATTCCGAGTATTCCACTGCTTTCCATTGTGGCCAAATATAGGTCACCTCTAAATCCGCTTAAATTTTTGTATGAATTTTGTAAAATATACGTTCCGCTACCCGTAAGTTGTCGGATGATAGAAAATGTAAAGCAACAACTATTGAAACACTTTACCTCTGTTTTCTTTACTGGAATTTGAGGAATATTAGTCTTTTGGCCGTAATCGTCAGTATAGGTCGACTCAGCGAAACGTGGAAATTTTCTTGGTTCTGCGAGATAGTCGAAGCATCGTGAGACATGAGAATCCCTATATTTAAAACAATTTAAGAAAATAAAAAAATAAAATAAAATAAAATAAAACTTCTGGAAAGATATATTAACTTTCTGCTAAGAATTATCCAGTTTTTAATTATTTCTTTTTCCATTCTTATCAAAGCAAATTAAAACAGAATCAACTTTCCACAAATTCTGTTTCTAATAATAAAAGTAGGTAAACTAAAGTAGATAATTTTGCAAATTCGTACAAATAGTTGTTTATTTGATTATATTTTGGATTTTATTACATATTTTCACAGCACTGCGTATTCATTAATTTATTTATCTATTTAGCTTTGCTTATACAATAAGTTTGGTGTATTATGTTGTAAATCTTGTAATTCTAAATTCATCGGCATTTGAGTTGTAAAGAAAGCTCTTTTAAGAAATATATATGGGAAAACTTTGCTAATGCTTCCTGGCGATAATCATTTGGCGATTTCTGGCAAATTTGGCAATATTTTGGAAATTTTCATAAATCGAATCTATAATGCCGTACGTTTTTTCTCTAGGATTCCAGAAATTCTTAGATTATCCTTTAAGAATTTCAGCCGATATTTGGTGTCAGCTTAGTACTCATATTAGAATTGTGCAACTAAAAACACTGGATTTCTGCTCGATGAGTAATGCTTGTAACTTTGCTCTGTAACCAATTTTGATGACCTGTGTATTTTTCGTGTGTTAAGGAGAATTTGCCTTGTCTCCAATTTTCTCCTTCAGCTATTTATAATAGTTCTTTGCCATGTTATATGAGCTGTTATAATTTCCTATGCAGTGACAGTTTCTTTTCTTTCATCTGCAAGAAGAAGCCCTGTTGGTACTTTTCCGTTTCACTGGCGCAAATCTCGCCAAGCAGACTTTATTGGCGACAACACACATTGTACACATAAAAAATGTTAAAAAATGTTAGTTCTAATAATTTTTATTTTGAAGACATAAACATTTAAATATCGTTTAAAATTTTGTAAAAAGACATAAATAAAGACAATAAATTTCTAAAAAGAATTTACTATGCTTTCATGGTACATCAGCCAGATTCTCCGGTCCATATCAAGTGTCCCCAAGTCATCTCATCGCACGTAAACTACGCTACCAAAAATCTAATTCTCTCCGTAATCATCTACATTAATTTCAAGTTAAAGGTTTATATGGAATAGAAGTTTAAATGCAAAAATCATTTTAATTTGTACGAATAGCTTACTTAGAAATTATGTAAAACCATAGTGCTTTACTTCGCTAGTTGCTTTCTCATCAGAATTGATGAATTTAACCCTTGATTTTGCTTTTCCTGTATTTTCGCCTTCTGCTGAGCGGTGTGATTGCATCCTAATTGATTTAATTACCGCGAATGGCCTTAGGACATAAAATTGAACTATCAGGTAAAAATTCTATGTAACTGTATTAAAAGAAACAACAATCTGATAAAAAAAAGTGCCTGCGACTTGTTTTCAAAATGAGGCGTAAAAGATTACCATGGAGGATATTCCGTTTGGCATCGATTCTACCATTTTTGGCGACTTTATCGATTGCGTCACATTACTGCCGACGAAACTCAATTTTATACAGCGATCGCCGCGTTAGAATCAGAGGTACTGCAATCAGCTCGTGAAATAATTTTGAATCCACCAGCGAAGGACAAATACAAAGCTTTAAAAAAAATTAATTTCTGTTTATGAAGAATACGAGACAGTTAAAATCAGGCAGTTGTTGCACGATTTACAGTTATGTGATATGAGGCCTCAATTGCTGTCTAAAATGTTAGACTTAGCCGTCGGTAACCTAACGGATAACATTCTTAAAACATTATGGATGAATAGATTCCCATCTAACATGCAAGCCATTTTAGCAGCCAGTAGCGAGCCACTTAAAAATCTTCCCGAAATCGCTGATAAAATTCACGAGATGGCCATTCCAGCGCAAATACACGCAGTGCAGGCTTCTGGTCCAGGTATTGTGGCGTTACAGGCTCAGATTGATGATTTGTCCAAATAAGTTGCTCAGTTAGTAACCATCCAAGCTGAACCTTTTCTGCGCAACCGCTCCACATCACGTGGTCGAAATACACCTCGTAGCCCACTGAGGAAATGTTATGAAAGCCCTCCTCCGGGTATTTGTTTTTACTACTACAAATTTTTAAACAAGGCAAACAAATGCCGTCCACCATGTCGTTATAACGACCAGGGAAACGAGAAGGGCCGTCGTTCGAAGTCGGGAACGACAACGGCCGGAATTGTGAACGCCTTTTCGTCATCGATAAGAATTCGGGCTTAAGGTTTCTTGTACAGGGGGTTGACTCAGGAGACGTCCTGGGAAGTACTGGTTAGGATCTGTACCTAGGCAGTCTCAACCACTGGGGTATACAAACACTCTTCACAGGACTAGAACCCTAGTACTAGAGCACAGGACTAGAGCTGATTTCTACTGATCAGGTGCTTCAGTTCGAGTCCCAACTCTTCACGTCACTAAGTATTTGGAGACAAACTTACAAAGTGAGAACCAAAGCCTACCATCCAAGTTCCAATGGAATTGTCGAAAGATTTCATCGTTCCTTAAAACAATTAATTCGATGCCACACTGCATTACAGTGAACTGATGTGTTACCTACTGTACTTCTAGGTCTTCGATCAGCGATAAAAGAGGATCTGAATGCCTCTTCTGCCGAACTGGTATATGGTACTAAACTCCGTTTGCCTGGAGATTTCGTACATTCAATCAATCCATCTACCTGCAACGTAGATCCTATTACATTCGTGCATCAGCTTAGAAACTTCATGTCAAAATTGCGACCAGTGGCTACCAGCGCTCATTGCAAACAAACTGTATTCGTGCATAAAAGAAATTAGAAATTCATTTCATGTTTTTCTCAGATGTGATGCTTTAAAGCCTTCTCTCGCACCATTTTCAGGTCCCCATCAAGTGCTAGCTCGAAACGAAAAAACATTTAAAATTTGGGTCAACGAAAAAGAAGTCGTCGTGAGTTCGACAGTCTTATCAGGCATTTATCTGGATACCAGAAGCCACTGGAGCGAATGCGTCTTCACCGTCGCAAATTCCATCTCAAGATCCACATCTATCTCCAACGGACTTCAATGCAAGCTGTTCCAAGCTTTCGACAGAAACCACCACTTCCGGCTTATCAGATGCTACGACAAGAACACGCTCGGCTCGTCGAATTCGCATCAACCCAAAGTATTTGTAAGGTATCGTTAGCATTGCAGGGGAAGTACTGTGGCAACTTGCCTACTACAACTCAACACTGCCAGTCTGGTAACCCATAACAACCAAAAACAAAATAATATTTAATCTATTGTTAGTATTATTAACGATCTCTCTCAGAAATTGTACTACCATAATGAAGTTATGAATAATACTAAGCTATTTGTATATATTCATTCAGAAAGGTAAATTAAAACTTACTTTTTCAAACCTTCTGAACTTAAAAATTGCCAGCCGTAATCTCGGTTATGAGTTGTTTGAAAGTTATTGAGCATATTTCCAGAAAGGTGTTTATTTTTTTCTGTTTCTTTGAATTAATGAAATGTGCCTTGTAAATCAAATTTTGATTTTGTGCAAAATAGCGTCATTTGTGTCCGTGCATTATTATGTATCTTAAATGTGCGCTAATATTTCATTTCTTACCCTTGATATTTTATTTAAATGTTGCCATTTACAAAAGAAAAAAGTAACTTAGATATAATAATATTAACAATTTTGGAGCATGCCTAGTCTCTCAAGCACACATTTTTTATTCCACAAAACATTCGTGGCATCGGCCATGACAGTGACTAGTAGTAAGCTGATGTTTGCCCCGAAACTGCATTTTTTTTAGTTGCACGTTTCCTTGATTAGCTGCTACGCATTTTAACCCATTTTCCTTAATTGTAAACAATTTCTAGTCACAACACAAGAATAGTTTATTGATACGCACAATACACAAACAGCGATAGCACAGATGGCATAATCATTGAGTCCCGGCTTTTATTTATTTGGCTTCTTTTCACAGGCGCCAAAAAAGTGTGGCAGATGCAAACGGTAAAGTACCCATTGCATTTAGACGTCGCAGATTTAAAATTACAGAATGTTTCTAAATATAAAAGTCTGATCCTTCCCCACTAGTTTACGCATTTTCAAAATTTTGCATTACTGATATTTTAATAACTTATTTATGACAGAAAATGGAATCCTAATGAGCATCATTGAAATTCATATTTTAAAAAAATTGTCTGTCATATTTTAAATTGTGTATCTTATTCTGAACCTAAGTTTAAATATCGCAAACAGGTGATATTTATTTTTAAAGGGTAGAAGTCTAGGCTTCCTCATTTGGATAACCTTAGATGTATAAACTTATTTACTTCCTGCTTTAGGTACGTGCTTCAAAAAAAAAAAAAAAAAAAAAAAAAAAACTTTTTGTTAACAGAATTTTTATTTCCGCCATGGAGACCTTCTTTCTGGTAATCAGTGCGGTTTTACACCTCAAAGAAGTTCTGAAGACACTCTTTTAAGCTTGAATTAAATTGTTCAGAGAGGTAGAAAGAAAATTTGCACCCTTTTTTTTTTTTTTTTTTCTCTGAATATAAAAGTCGCCTTCGACAATGCGCGGTGGTCATGTATTCTCAATCTCCTTTAAAAAGTTGAACTCCCAACGAATAATTTTTCGCTTGCTGCTGACTTTTTAAACGATCGGACGGCCAAATTGCAACTGGGCTCGACAATCCGTCACCTTGAAATGGATTGCCCGCAAGCATATAAGCATTCTGTACCTCACCACGAACATAGGGAAAATCCCTGCTCGATATGGCTTCTGGTGATATCATTTCGTCTAGGCTTCGGAACGCCTTGACTTTGTTTGGGCATGAGTGTTCATCTCCATACAGTTTGTTTACACTTTAATAGCAGCACCGAAAAGATCATTATTTGTGTTGTATTTTTGTTGCTATGAGATTACATTTCTTACAACACTGCCCGTGTGGTAAATAAATTTAATATAAAAATGGAGTGTTTTTTTCCCTGTAAAGAGAAAAAGTATTTCTTCTTGTTCTAACTCAGTAAATGTGTATTAAACGCAGATATTTTTAATAAATGTATTGTTAATTTAAAACTTTTCATATTAAAGGTGTGATTATTTTCTGTTCATTACATATCCGTTCTCTGCATCTGCAATCTACGAAAGCATGAGACAAGTCAGTTTTCGGAAATAGCAAAAACGACGTTGGAAGCCACAGTAAATTCATAATATTTATAATCAGTCTGGAAAAGTAAAATTTATTTCTGAATTCAAACTAATATAATTTTGGAATATATAGAAACAGAAATACTTTTTTTTAAATTGAATACTATTACTTTATGAATATTGCCCATTTTTAATTGTAACATCTTTTGAACCTTTGCATAAAAATAATGTTTGTCAGAGAAGGAAATTTCTTTTCTTATACACGTGTATTAAATTCAGCGACGATACCGAATGCACTTTTTTCTTTCATTTAACGCAACACAATGTTAGAACGACATGGACATTAACATGAAAATCACATAACTTTTGCTAAAGAAATATTTTCTGCGATGTGAAAGGAACAGAATCCAACAAAATTACAATAATAATAATATACTTATCAGCACATAATGCCTTGTTGGTTCAAGATCGTCGTGTTTTGGTTTTTACACTAAATTCATGAACTTCGCTATTTATATAATCTAAGCGCTTAAGACTGCTTCTGATATTAACAGCATCTTTGAAAGATTGTATTATTCCACGAAACAGTAAGCCATATGCAGAACGCTGCAGTTAAATCTTTTCGTTTCAAAGAAAACAAGCGATAATTTTTACGCTTCCATGTCACTCATCGCGTCATTCAACGAAAACAGAACTGTAAGAATCCCGCCTAAACCATGGACCTTATAAGAAATAGACTAACCCAGATGGGTTTTCTTCCTCGTCTGAGGCGTTCCGGCTGTCACCTTGATCACAACCGGAGGAGTAGGGACGACTTGCAGAAATTTAACAGTGGTTGCCTATTACAGCGTGTATAATTGTCAAGAAAAAGCTGGTTGTAGCGCCTCATTTCACAAATTAGATTTCTACATATTTTTATTTTTGAAATTGAGATTGATTTTTTAAAATTTAGCATATTTATCAAGCATAATTAACGTTCCAAATATTATAAAGCTATTGCATGCTTTCAGACTTGATATTTTTTTAGCTTTTCCTATGCTGTAAGGGAAATTTGTAACGTTTTCTTTAGAAATAATATTTTAAATCTGAACTAATAGAAAATTTCAAACAAGCAATTTTCTCTTGTAATTTTTATGCTTTTTTATTGGTGTAAATAAGTAAAAAATACTAAAATATTTAAAAACGTATTTTTAAAAGTTTTGTTTAAAATTCTAAATTGTGCTGCTTTTTTTAAAATTATAGATGAGTATTATAGCACAATTTCTATAACGGAATTTTATTTCAATTATTTTTATAATACATCATAGTGATAAACCCTTTTGAGTCCTTAAAAATTTTTATACATTTAATTCTAATATTAAAATTGTATTTAACCGTAATAATTAATTTTGCTTGTATTTTATAGTGATTATTTTTTTTTAATTTTTTTTTTAGTTCTGCATAAGACTTTTTTTTATTTATTGTTAATTTAATTTATTAGCGCAAACGGGCGGTAGCCTAGAAAGTGCTGTTAGTTTCGAAGCGGCATTTTGCGCTGTTTTACTATAAATGTCGGTGCCTCTTTGCAAATTGTTGTTACCAAATATTATCGCCCTGTATTATATTTAAAGAAATTAAATAATGAAGAATCTGCATGAATGTGTGTATGTTTCTCGCACTGTGACAAAAACAACAGTATCTTGAGCCATCAAATTTTAAATAATGTAATCCTCCACCCGAACATGGCAGTGGCGCCGAATTTCGAATTTTTGAATCATTTCGTATTTTGGTAAACTTTAACGAATTTTGATTAACAAACTCAACGAGTTCAGGCAGGGCACTTTCGAAAACAGTTTTATTTCCAGTGGAATTCTAAGGATATGCTGTTTCAAATGTATGTGTTACGGGCGAAAACATGATATTCAATAAATATAGTAACACAAAACGTTAAAAAAATGTTTCTTTTGGCGTACTATAAAATCTGAGTGCTTCTAGATTTTAATTTATCTTTTTGTTTTTCATTCATTCGCTCAGAAAATTTTATGATCCGAATTTATGAATTATTAAATAAAAATCCACTTTAATGTTAATAATTAATGATCTATAATTAAATAAATATGATGGTTTTTGTAATGCTATTATAGTTTGGAAATCACTGCCTGAAAATGTTCATTAATTAAAAAAAATATCAGATCTTGTTTAATTGTACCTTATTTATTTCAAAGCATCACGTACATCAATCTTATTCAATTTTACTTTTTTTTTACGCAAATTAATTCATAAATTTTTGTGCTTAGAGTTTTTACCGTTTTACCAAAGTAAAGATGTTTTGTACAAGAATTACGCGTGAAAAAATGGGGGAAATGAGTAAAAATTGCTTTAATGAGATATATTAAATCCTATTCGGAAAACACTGTGGCTTTTATTATGTCATCACTATACAACGTATCACATTTAATAATTAAAAAGAGTTATGTGATACAAACGCCTTAGGTTTCAATGTTAAAGTAAACTGGATCGTCCCTACTCTTTCTTGCCGACATGTCGGTGACGCGCACCCCGCCCACTGGGTTAGTCTATCTCTTATAAGGTCCATGGCCTAAACGTCATTACGTCAAGAGAAAATGGTGTCATCTGAAAATATGTCCAATGACATGTATGAATTTTTCTCTATGGGCGTGGCTCGGTACAGAATGCTTACATGCTGCCCGCAAGGCTCATTTTCTGAGCCTACGCTTTGGAATATTATTATTAATGACCTCCTATCGAAGTTGAAAAATCTTGCTTCTTACGATATTAATATTTTGTGTGGATGACATCTTGGTTTGTTTCCAGAGTAGGGACCTTCCTGCTGCTTTTTCCACGCACAGGAGACTTGATGCCTCCACTGAGCTGACGCTGACAAGGAGATACTGCTGCAGTGGAGTTGAAACTGATTGATTTTTCAAAATGATTTATCTGTAAAATCGCTTTCTTCAAGCTATGAAAATATTTGGCCTCTTGTTCCTTAAGAAAAATACCCAATTTTGGTCCAGCTTTATATCAACGTGAAGGCAATTTTCAGCTTTATATATCTGTGTGAGATTTCTTTTTCCAGTATGAAATTTATTAAAAATAAGTACAGAAATAGACTCACTGATGAATACTTGGACAAATGTAGTCCAATGGCAGCCACTACCTACTCTCCCAACATTAGAAACTTGTTGATGACAAAAAAAGAGTTCCATCCTCCTCATTAATATTAATCAGTCTGACAAAAAAGCCTGTTATTACATTTATTATTATTACTATCTACACTTTTTCTTTCTTATTTACAATTCAATTTCTTTGTGTTACATACAGTTTAATTAAAATATTGATTTCAAATTTACTAGAAATGTAAGGTTATAAACAATAAACAAAT